TCGGCGAAGCGGAGGCCCTGGAGGAGGAGCCGGCCGCGGGGACGACGACCGGGATCGAGTCCGGGGAACAGCGGTTCCGGAAATCAGGTTAGACGAAAAACGGAATCCGAAAAATAAGGGCGAGAACGCGGCGGGATCCGAAAACGTGGTCGAAATCGAAGACGAGGGCTTTTGCTTTTTTTTTTTTTCTGGACGGCTTTTGCGAATCGTCGCTCGGGTTTAGGGAAGGAGGAGGAAGAGGAGGGCGGCCGAGTCGGCCGATCCAGCGGCTTTTTGCGTGAGAACGGCGCGGGCGCGTGCTCCCGAGAGGCGCCCGAGACGCGAAAAAGCGCGCACAGCGGCCTCTCGCGGATCCGCGAAAACAAAAACCGCTCGAATACGTACCTCCCGGGACGTAAATCGCGGCCCGCAGAAACGTCCGCGGGACTACGTTTCCACAATGAGCCCAGGTTGTTTTATTGCGTTGCGTCGTCATGGACACGGTGTAAGTCTATTCAACTGATTATATTTTAATTAAATCACATTATCAATGCTGTAAAAGCCATCTTATAAAACTGAAAATAGTCACATGATTAATGTTCACTTCAAGCTTATCGGTGGCTGAAAACCTCTCGCATAAATCCCATTCCAGACTGTGCAGATTCCTAGTATCAAAGCTGAATTTAGCTTGTGAAAAACGGCTGACTCTACTAACGTGCATCTTTAGTTTCATAACAGACTATCAGCCAAGAGTCTTGAGCGAATCGCCACAGAACCCAAGCTAAATCTCCATACTGTCCATTTCCACATCCTCCAAAGTGGTGTCCGATTGAGAAACCATCAGGAGTTTCTGTTTCTTTGAATATTGTCTGACCGCTCCGCACTCAGTTTGAAGCTCTTGGTCCTTTTCCAAAACCTCGACTGAACTCTCACGACTGAACGTGGCATTGTCTGTGGACTCGAAGGATTCGCCGCCGAGACCTTCGAGTTTGGTGTATCCTCCGCAGCTGAGGCCTTCGAGTCGAGGGCAGCTGAGACGTCGCGACCGTACCTGCTGTCGCTCGGCAGGAATGGGCGAACAGATATCCTCATCGATTGATCTTGAATAATCCGACAATGCGCTCAAAGAAAGGTGTGATCCGGTAGCTCTGTGGCTTGGCGAACATTGCGTGAGCAGCTTCACCTGCGAACCCTGCAGAGAAACTCGAGGCGCTCCCTGCAAACTTCCAGAGCTTCGGTACACCTCCAGCGAGTCCTGCGGAGGCTCCGGATGAGTTTGCGCAGACTCTACTTTGGCTTTCGTCATGCTTCGAGACGCTACCAGATCCTCCAGACGCCTGCAAATGGCTTCAGCGTCCAAAAACTCTCTTTTAGCCTCCCCAGTTTTATCCGAGCCTCTCCTCTCCGATGTTCCCCGGTTGTTGAGCCTCATCATCGGTAGAGTGAACGCATTGACCGAAGTGGACACGATGGTTCTGGATTCCCATTGCTTTAGCTCAGGCTTCTGATCTCGATATATGCTGTAGACGGTGTCTGTAAGGCTCTGCTTATCCAATGACGATTGATTGGTGGACGGACGTCGAGATGGGATCATGCTACTGGTGTCAAGTCGACCAGATCCCGGAGATGGCCAGGATCCACTTTTATGAGGTGAAATGTAGGATTTGGTGTCTTTCGATTGGCAGTAATTCACGAAACCGTTCAGTGGTGCCGGCTCCTTGGTCCGCAAGCTATGAATGTCAATCACGGTGGAGTAGATGTCTCTGAGGTTGATGATTTTAGTTTTTTTATCTCTGTTCTCGTGAAGTACTGCATTGGCACAAATGAACAGGAAGATCCCGATGCCCATGATTAACGGTCCGAAGACTTTCAGCTTGTCTGAATACAAGTATCTGTTAATAAACGCAGCAAATGCTCCAAGCTTAGGCGAATCCACCTCAGCCGTCCCATTGGAGCCATTGAAGTCTTTATCAAGTAGATCCCATCTGATGCTAACATTGACTAATTCCCGTTCTGTGGTGCCGTACGTCCTCGGAGAGCTCACCGTGTTGATCAGGCCTGGATAGAGAGGACTCTCTTTAGGCCAATAACCCAACACAGCCATAGCAATGCCAACCAGCAGCACCAGAATCCCAACGGCAGCGACCAGTCCGGAGACGGAGCACAGCTTCAGCTTGCCTTTCACCACCACCACCTCATTCTTCCTCTTTTTCTTGGCTTTTCTCTTGCGCTTGTTCTCGGCGCGGTTCTTTGCGCGAAGGGAGTCCTGTCTCCTGGCTGAGATCCGCAGCAGACCCCCTGTGGCAATCATGATGGCGCTCAATTAATCATCCTGGAACAGAGAGAAAGGGCATTAGTGTGGGCAGAGATACACACAGTTCAATATACTCACACAGTCCAATGTTTTCATGCTTTATGAACTCTCTCCATAGCTGTAATGATGCTTATACTGTACAAATACAAGCTACAAAATACTCCATTCTGTTTTCCTCATGGAGATACAAATATTAAAATACCAATTTACTGGTATTGCTATACTTGTGGGGACATTTGGTTCTCATAATGTGATTAGTACCAGGACACACACATGTTGGTTTTGGTGGTTTATAAGGACTCTCCATATGCTGCAAAAAGGCTTTTTGTCTTGTTTTTAGTCCAAATATTTAAAACTCATTCAATCAAAAAGTATTTTCAACACAAGTAAAAATTAATGTCTTATTTTCAGAATTAATATGCCAAAATTAAGTGAGTTTTTCCTTAAAACAAGCAAAATAATTGGACAAGGGTGTAAGCTAAATAATATGTTATGTAGCTTACCCCATTAGCAGTTCATTTAGCTTGTTTTACCTTAATTTTGAAAGAAGATTTAAGAATTATTAAACATTTGGACTGGAAACAAGACAAGAAAAGCATTCTTGCAGTGCAGTTATGGCTCCTGGTGTGAATGTGTTGAACCTGAGATAATAAACACAAGTGAATCAGTGTCACTGCTCTGTAAAGGCGAGTGTGTTGGCATTCCTGTGAGCTGTATGTGTGTGTGTGTGTGTGTGTTAAACAGCAGATGAACAGATCAGACGAACAGAAGCGGAGTGTGAGACGGAGACAGATGACATGATTCAGACTCCTCTAACACCATGATGAAAAGCATCTGCTCCTTCTGTTTGGTGTTGATTCGACATAAAAGCTGATTCTGTCACAAACCATGGGAAGTATGCGAGTGAGTGAATTTAGGGCCAACAGATAAAAACAATCCTGTTTCTTGGCACAATATTAGATTAAAGATGAAATCTGAGTGAATGAAATTGTAGAAGTGAACGTCAGACTCAACAGAATCAACTCAAACATCAAGCGTCAGCATTACAAAAATGAACATTCATTCTCTTTTCGGCTTAGTCCCTTTATTAATCAGAGGTCGCCACAGAGGAATGAACCACCAACTTATCCAGCATATTTTTAATGCAGCAGATGCTCTTCCAGCCGCAGTCCAACACTGGGAAACAGCCATACACTCTTGCGGCCAGTGTAGTTGATCAGTTCCCCTATAGCGCATGTGTTTGGACTGTGGGGGAAAACGGAGCACCCGGAGAAAACCCACACCAACATGGGGAGAACAAGCAAACTCCACACAGAAATACCAACGGACCCTGCTGGGGCTCAAATCAGCAACTTTCTTGCGGTGAGGCGATAGTGCCACCCACTGCGCTACCGTGATGCCCAAAATAAGTGGGAAGGAAATGATTTGTACTGTCCTGTGTGAACTATTCCATTCTTGTTCTCTTAAATGCATCACTAAAACTTTTTACACCTAAAAGAACTAACATCATTTTTTACTGAAACCTTCATGAATTAAGTTTGTCAAACTTATTTAATTTAATTGTAACAAGTCAAAGTAATTGTTTAAGTTTTCGCTTTTTACAGTGCATGATATTTGTAAATGAATTGGGGAAAAATGCATCAAAAAGTTACAGGTGTATTTCTTTTATTAACAGCACATAGTGTATATTTCTTATAATTGCAACATTGATATAAATTTGATTTGCCATTACGAGAAGCGCCAACTCATGCCAGGGCTCAACAATAAGGTCTGCCCGATGGCCCGGGGCCAGTGTGAGGCGCTCGGGACAGTAGACAGGATTGTTACTGGCCCGATCTGTGCTGCCCTGTCACAAAAGATCAATTTGCCTGCAACTGTTTGTCAATTGCATATGACTAATCGAATAAGCGTCTTAGAATCAGGTAACAGTCTTTGCTTTTTAGCCTTTAAATGCTGCCTTCTCTGTGATGTCGTAAACAGCATATTGCTTTTCGGGTGCTCTTATCTGATTGGATGTCGTGAGCATGTCGCTTTTTTGTAACCTGGTAAAAACCAGTACATCGACGAGACGGCAACATCAAATTATGAAGCTAAAAAGAACGTCTTAGAAGCAGACATTTACGTGGGTACAACGTGACGATTTGCTCATTATATATTTATTAACATTTTAAAAATAATTAAATTCTAGATTCAAACACATTTTTGACACAATATTTAAAACATGTGGCTAAGAAATAGCTATTAACTTTTTCTTTTTTGTTTTTTTTCGCTGGCCCAGTCTTCCAATCCAATTTCTTAGTGTTGAACCCTGCATGTGTATCGCTATTTTGTCCTTCCCCAATTATTGAAAAATCAAATGTAACGTAAAATGTAAACACTGTACATTCTACATTGCTGATCAACAATAAAAATCCCAACTCCACAATGCAGATTGCGATATTGATACTGAATCAATATATTGTGCACCCCATACACACAACATCCTAACTTTCAGATTTTGCACATTTTATAAAGCTGCTTTGTAACAATATTTGTGAAATAGAACCATACAAATAAGCTTGAATTAAAGAATCTTATGAAGGGAACCTATACACTTTATATGAATATACATGAATCAAAGGGCCTAAAAGAGTCAGTTTCAGAGTTACAAAACATTACTAGTGTGGTATATTGAGCTGAAACGTCACTATACACTCTAGGCACATCAGAGACGGATATTACATATTGTAAAAAGGGCATTATAGGTCTCCTTAAATAACCTCTTATAGATTGAGATTTATTATCCTCGATCTCTCAAGGGGGTCTGAAGCACAGCACCCAAACTGAGCCTTATTAGAGTTTATTGAGTTCAGATATATGATTCACTGTACGTTTATTTCATGCTCTTAATCAAACAGACAGAACATGTTTTGCCGTGGCCTTCGTGAACCTGCTGCTCTGCAGTGGAGGCTAATAATTTATGGCTCCAATTAAATCTTCATGTTGTCTTCCGAAATGGACTTCCAGCGGGAAAAATACATTATAATTTCCAGCACCAGCACTCAAAAGCGAGTTCGTTTTGTAAGTCGAGTGTCGATTTCTCTTCATGTTTAACATGTAGACCAATGAGTGATTAGTTTATTAGCGATTCATTTATTAAGAGAGTCAATTGTTGTTTCTGAAAGTAGCACAACACAGCGCAGCAACAGTGATAAAGAAAGGGAATGCAATTATCACTTTCAGAAGGATTTTTCCAGCTGATGAACAATAAAACACTGACAGCCATTCATAATTTAGTAAAAAATTAAGCGCAATTTAATGCTACAGACAGCACTGCAGAGACATTATTTTAAAGATTATTTATATATTGATTATAAAGATCATTTAAAGATAATGACTATGGTGGAAACAATTGGTTATACCATGGGCAATAATGATAAAAAAACCAGATGGAAGTTATGAAATTCATGCTAGCAGACTGAAGTGTCAAAATAAAAGAAGTGCATTAATCCAGTTCTAGTTTCAGTGTGATTACTAAACTGACTGTTTGATTCATTTAAATACAGTCACCATGTCAATATATGACCAATTCCATGCAAATGTTAACCTTGTTGGCTTGCCTTGATAGACGTTGTTACCGGTTTTAAGACGCAACACCAGTGACATCACTTTTCCACCGTGACACCGTTCACACATTTGTTCTTTTTTTTGTTTCAAGTATTCATTATTATTATTAAATAGTTATTTTAATTAAATAGAAAATATAATTATAAATAATTTACTTAAGACGAGAGCAGGCTCTATAATTAAAATCTGAACATATGCTACAATGCGTCATATTTTATTTATCACGTGAGGAGAAAATTTACAATCGAATTTACAGAAAGAGGATGACAGAAAATTTAGTGTCAGAATGCAATGCAAAAGCGCCTGTTTTATATTTATATTTATATTTTGGGTTCAAACCAAATGCAAAAGAGAACCTGAAAATGTTAATAAGGCAATCTGCAAACTTTGCCAGACAAAGGTGGCAGCATCTGGAGGAAACACAACTCATTTATACACACATCTTCAATGCACCTACTTGACGTTTAACTATGGGTGGGTCGCGGGTAGATAAGGTCCATATCCATAAATACGCAACGCATACTCTCATTTTAAAAATCACGTGACCATCATTTCACAATGTTTATTAATAAATAATCTTGTATTTAAGCCAACTGCAGAGAAATAAAGCAACCATCGCGGCAACTGCAGTGAGCATTTTTTCTCAAGTTCAGCTGTTCTTTATTGCACTTGATTATTATGCGTTTAATGTTTAAAAAATCAATGAATGAATAATGAATCGGCCGACAAGAGTGTATTCTGTGTGTGTGTGTGCATATTTCTATCACTGAGGCCGCTCTCTTCAAAAAACGAAAGCTGCTTCATCTGTCGGGCAATATTTCAGCTTTTAATCTTTTAAAAGCCTAATAATTATATTAATTCTAATAAAATGAAAACCAAAATAAACAATTCATAGCATTTTTCATTTGCTAAAAAAAATATATGAAAATGAAAAAAAAAATCAGAGGGTGGCTAGTTTGTATTAATGTGTTGTAATATTAATAAAATATGCTTGGTCTATTTAAGCTTAACGGCTATATACGCCGCCGATAGGCAAGCCATTCCATAAATATTATTTTACTGTGTTCTGGGTTATAATTTATATTGTACAATAAAAACTAAATGTAGCATGTCCTGCTGTCATTTAAAACATGCATTTCATAACACACCAGAGCTGTAGTCTATGCAGTGTGTGCACTTACAGGGAGGTGTTGGTCAATAGTCACACTGCGCACCACGTTACTGAACTCCAATATCTCTGAGGGAGATTATGTTGAGCGATAGCCTATATTAACTTGAGAGATTTTACAAATAAAAGGAATTTTAAAAAGGAACAACACGCAAATAACCAAACAAATAAAACTGGTTCCGTGGAGTTCAGCACTTGTCATCTTGCCAGTGTATGCTGTCTAGTGTGTATAGCGCCCTTATGC